AGCCAATATGGTAACTCCCTTCTTTGCCTGTTGATCCAGAGGCATGAGGAGCCCAAAGTGGCCAGGTGGCATTCTTAATTTCCAGTTCAAAGGAATCAGTGTTGTGTCTCCAGGTGGGAGTATTTTTCCCTTTGTAACTAAGGCCTCTAGGCCCATAGAGCAGAAAGCAAAATTTTTGTGAGTGGGTAATTAGGGGTAACAGTGAATGGTACCACTTCCATTTCCACCCCTTGATTCCTGGACATGTGAATCCTGGCTATGAGAGAAAAAGCACCATACACTGGATGCTGGTTTAGAGCATATGAAGCCTCCTGGAGGACATTGCCCCAACGCTGTAAGGAATTGCCACCTAGCTGGCACCATAATTGTGTCTTTAGAAGGCCATTCCATCTTTATATCAAGCCAGCTGTTTCAGAATGATGGGGACCATGGTAAGACCAGTGAATTCCATGAGCATGGGCCCACTGCCGTACTTCGTTTGCTGTGAAGTGAATTCTTTGATCCAAGGCAATGCTGTGTGGGGTACTATGATGGTGGATAAGGCATCTGTAAGTCCATGTATGGTAGTTTTGGCAGAAGCATTGCATACAATGGCAACTGTTACTATTGGAAGTCTATGCAGAAGAAACACTCACCAAGCGTAATGTGATCATAGATCTCATTTTAAATAATGATCAGAACGGCAGAGTGTTGTTGCTAGGTGCCCTAGAGTCGGTTCTGACTTATAGTGACCTATGCACAATAAGACGAAACACTGCCCGGTCCTGTGCCATCCTCAAAACAGTTGCTATGTTTGAGCCCCTTGTTGCAGCCACAGTGTCAATCCATCTCATCGAGGGTCTTCCTTTTTTTCACTGACCCTCTACCTTACCAAGCATGATGTCCTTCTCCAGGGACATCATGTCCAAAGTACATGAGAAAGTGTCACCAACTTCACTTCCAAGGAGCACTCTGGCTGTACTTCTTCCATGACAGACTTGTTCATTCTTCTGGCAATCCATGGTATATTCAGTATTCTTCACCAACATCATAATTCTAAGGCATCAATTCTTCTTCAGTCTTCCTCATTCATTGTCCAGTTTTCACATGCATATGAAGCGATTGAAAATACCATGGCTTGGGTCAGGCGCACCTTAGTCCTCAAAGTGACATCTTTGCTTTTTAACACTTTAAAGAGGTCTTTTGCAACAGATTTGCCCAATGCAATACATCGTTTGATTTCTTGACTGCTGCTTCTATGGATGTTGATTGTGGATCCAAGTAAAATGAAGTCCTTTACAATACTTCAATATTTTCTCCGTTTATTATGATATTGCTTATTGGTCCAGTTGTGAGGATTTTTGTTTTATGTTGAGGTGTAATTCACACTGAAGGCTGTAGTCTTTGATCTTCATCAGTAAGTGCTTCAAGTCGTCTTCACTTTCAGCAAGCAAGGTTGTGTCATCTGCATATCGCAGGTTGTTATTGAGTCTTCCTCCAATCCTGATGTCGCGTTCTTCTTCATACAGTCCAGCTTCTCAGATTATTTGCTCGGTGTACAGACTAAGTATGGTGAAAGGATACAGCCCTGATGCACACCTTTCCCGACTTTCAGCCATGCAGTATTCCCTCTTTTGGTTCGAATGACTGCCTCATGGTCTATATACAGGTTCCTCATGAGCACAATTAAATGTTCTGGAATTCCCATTCTTCTCAATGTTATCCGTAATTTGTTATGATCCACACAGTTGAATGCCTTTGCATAGTCAATAAAACACAGGTAAACATCTTTCTGGCACTCTCTGCTTTCAGCTGAGATCTATTGACATTAGCAATGATATCCCTCGTTCCATGTCCTCTTCTGAATCCGGTTTGAATTTCTGGCAGTTCCCTGTCAGTGTACAGCTGCAACCATTTTTGAATGATCTTCAGCAACATTTTACTTGTGTGTGATATTAGTGATATTGTTCAATAATTTCTGCATTCTGTTGGGTCACCTTTCTTTGGAATGGGCGCAAATATGGATCTCTTCCAGCCCGTTGGCTGGGTTGATGTCTTCCAAATTTTTTGGCATAGAAGAGTGAGCACCTCCAGCGCTGTATCTGTTTGTTGAAATATCTCAATTGGTATTCCATCAGTTCCTGGAGCTTTGTTTTTCACCAGTGCCTTCAGGGAAGCTTGGACTTCTTCTTTTAATACCATCGGTTCTTGATCATATGTGACCTCCTGAAATAGTTGAAAGTTGACCAATTGTTTTTGGTACAGTTACTTTGTGTATTCCTTCCACCTTTTGATGCTTCCTGTTTTGTTCAATAGTTTGCCCATGGAATCCTTCAAAATTGCAACTGGAGGCTTGACTTTTTTCTTCAGTTCTTTCAGCTTAAGAAATGCCAAGCGTGTTCTTCCCTTTTGGTTTTCTAACTCCAGGTCTTTGCACATTTTATTATACTTTACTTTGTCTTTTTGAGCCACCCTTTGAAATCTTCTGTTCAGCTCTTTCACATCATTTCTTCCATTCACTTTAGCTACTCTACATTCAAGAGCAAGTGTCAGAGTCTCTTCTGACATCCATTTTGGTCTTTTCTTTCCTGTCTTTTTAATGATCTTTTACTTTCTTCATGTATGATATCCTTGATGTCATCCCACAACTCATCTGGTCATTAGTATTCAATGCATCAAATCTATTTTTGAGATGGTCTCCAACTTCAGGCAGAATGTACTCAAGGTCATATTTTGGTTCTTGTGGACTTGTCTTAATTTTCTTCAGCTCCAGGTTAAACTTGCATGTGAGCAATTGATGGTCTGTTCCACAGTCTGCCCTTGGCCTTGTTCTGACCGATGTTATTGAGCTTCTCCATTGTCTCTTCCCACAGATATAGTCGATTTGATTCCTGTGTTTTCTGTCTGGTAAGGTCCACGTGTATCATCACAGTTTGTTGTTGAAAAAAAGTATTTGCAATGATTAAGTTGTTGGTCTTGCAAAATTCTATCATGCAGTCTCCAGTATAGTCTCTCACCAAGGCCATATTTTCCAACTACAGATCCTTCTTTGTTTCTATGGTAAATATATTCTGTTACACTAATTTCTGGTGTTTTTCTGCACATTTAGGTTTTTAACACTTGTGAAATGTCAGTCCCTCTATTTAGTCTGGAAGGAGACAATGCAAATACAGGGCACAAAATTTATCCACCGAATAAAGTAATAGGAACTAGGGGCTTCTCTTGTGGGTATAGAAGAGAAGGCTTTGGGAGCTCTGAAGTTAGCAGAAGGGTTCTAGGTGAAGAGTGGGCTCAAGGGAGAAGGACAGCCAGAGAGGGAAGGCCTTGGGGATTTTAAAATACAGATGTCTAATTTTTAATTCAGGGGGTTGCCCAGTCTGCTCTGTGCCATGTTGTAATACTCCCGAGTAGTGCAAACCTTTGCCTGCTACACACAGTGATGCTTCTGTTAGTGGGATTTTGCTGAAGATGAGGAAGCAGGGGCAGTGTTGGACTTCCTGTTAAAACATGGTACTCTGACCTCTCCTGTCTGGAACCCCATTGCTATGGAGTGAATTGTGTTCCTCCAAAATATGTGTTGGAATCCTAACCCCTATACCTGTGCATGTAGTCCTATTTGGAAATAGGGTTTTCTTTGTTATGTTAATTAGACCATACCTAAGTATGGCAGGTTCTAAATTCAATCACTTCTGAGTTATAAAAAAGAAGCCATGGTGGTGCACTGGTTTAGCATTCGGCTGCTAATTGAGAGGTCAGCAGTTCAAATCCACCAGCCACTCCATAGGACAAAGATGTGGCAGTCTGCTTCTGTAAAGATTACAGCCTTGGACACCCTATGGGCAGTTCTACTCTGTCCTACAAGGTCACTATGATTTAGAATCGACTCAACGGCAATGAGAATGGGAGTTATAAAAAGCGCAGAATGGACACAGAGACACTTATGGGGGAAGACAGAGGCCATGTAAGGATTGCTATAAGCCAAGGAACCAAGGAACATCTGGGGCTACCAACAAGGAAGGATTCAATAAGGCTGAGACTTTGATTTGGACTTTTAGCCTCCAGAACTGTGAGGGATTAAATTTCTGTTCTTTAAAGCCACACACTTGTGGTATTTGTGTTACAACAGCCCTAGGTAACTAAGATACCCATTAATTTGACAATTAAAGAATAAGTAATGCCAGAACACCAAGGGTAAAGAGAATGGGAGACGAGACATCAGCCTAGAAAGGATTTCAAAAGAGTCTTTGGAGAACGAAAGGCAGATGGAGGAGTTGTACTGATATGTCAAAGCAAAGGAAGCTACAAGCTAAGTGCCTGTAGAGGGGGAGACTGATGAGAAACAGGTCAACAGAGTTCCTGTGGAACTCTGGATGCAGTGAAAACCAATTTTAAATTTTCAGGAATTTAATGTTAAATACAGCCATTATTAAAAGCTATTAAAAATTATATAAACTTACAATTACATACATTAAAAACAAAGGTTACAGTATTAACAACTCATCACTTCTTAATTATTTTACTACGTTTACTGTTATCTCTGCTCTGGGTTATTCACATCTATTGTTTCTGTGTGGTTTCCACCAAGATGGGTAGCTCTGAGGTCACCCATTTCACAGACATTTCTTGAGTAGCATACTTATGTATGCCATGCATGTGATGATATTGGGAAACAGCCAAAGGGGTGTGTAGATATTTATCAAATGTTCACCCAAATGAATACATAATTAGCAATTGTGATAACTGCAGTGAAGGTAAAGTACACGATACACAGGACCTAAAACAGTTCTTTTGTGGTGGTAGGGGGAGGGAGTGGTTCAGGTAAGAGTTGAAAGTGACAATTGAGCTGAGATGTAAAATTTTTAAGTAGGAGTTAGTGGGGGAGTGGGGTTGAAGAGGCCCTGCTGGCTTCTTGGTTAAGACCTCAGCTGTTAACCAGAAGGTCACAGCTGCTCCTTGAAAACCCTACCGGGCAGTTCTACCCTGTCCTATAGGGTCGCTGTGAGTCAGAATTGACTCAACGGCAAGGGTTTTGGTTGTTGTTTTTTTTTAATCCTAGGTGCTGGGGCGCATTCCTGAATGCAATTACAGGTCTTGACTAATCTCATCTATCCAAATTCTGTAGCACTGAATTCTTTTTGTCCTATTGACGTCATTTGCTAAAAAGTTACTTTCATTTCTCTAAGTACATAGATTTTTTTTTTCATGCACCTTTTAAATCGCTGAGAGAGCAAGTTTTAACATCCTCGAGAATCTTCAAGAATGCATCCACAAAAACAGCAAACAGGTAAGTAACTTCTCTGGTCGAATTTCACATTTTTTTGTGTTTTAATCCTCCAAGAATTTGTGTTTGTTCAGTTTTGTTTTGTCCAGGGGAGACATCCCCAGTATTACTTGTATAAATCTTATCTTCATTAGTAACAGCAATCAAGTATTGTCTCTCCTGAGAGTTTTTGAGCTTGTAGAATCTCAGACTCCATAAACAGTTGAGACTATTATTAATTAATTGATTTATTAATTGATTAATGTAATAAGATGTTGATTGGTTGGTTGGTTTAACTGATTAATTAATGGTTGATTATTTACAGTCCCTGCTAGGATTTTTAAGTCTGAAAGTCCTAAACTTTAAACAAGCTCGAGCCTTTAATAGTTTTAATTAGTATTTTAGGACTTTTAAAAAATATTAAGATAATATTTGTTTAAACCTGTTAGAACTCTACAACTGCTCCTCCTGCCTTCCCAAGTACAGTTTCTCTTTTTGTTTCTCAGAGACACTTCCTCTTTCTGTTTTATTGGCAGAAGTTCTGCTTTCTGCCCTTCAGAGACAGACCCTCTTTCTGTAAACTTGATTCTGAACTGCTAAGCCTTCAAAACTAGATGACTAATGATTTAGGAAATAATATTGGAGTTATTATTCCCTCTCCTTGAGCATACAGAATGTGACCCAGCTGGAGCTGGGCTCACAAGGGCTCACAAGGACTCTCAAGGACACATTAACTGGGCCCTGAGGTATAAAGACAATAGCTAAGATAATCTTGGAAAATATCTTTTAGGGAAACTTTCACATAAATCCCATCAAACAGAACACAAAAGACTTTCCACTCTTATCTTTTTCTATTAGCGTTTAGTGAATATGAATTTGTTGGACCAATGAAGACCCTCTTGACTTTTGTTACTGAAACCCATACCAATGACTGTTAAGAAAGATGATTTAAAATGTAAGGTTACAATTTCTAGCCAATCAGTGAAAAGATGACGATTTCAATGATTCTACCCATTTTGTGATGTTGATATATACTGATGATTCTGTAACCTTCTTTGGACTCGGGCAAACATGGCTGTGGCAGCATGCTTGTCCATTTTCCCATTCTTGCCTATTCTGTAATATTCTTTGGACTTGGGCAGACATGGCTGTGGCAGCATGCTTGTCCGTTTTCCCATTCTTGCCTATTCTGTGATATTCTTTGGACTTGGGCAGACATGGCTGTGGCAGCATGTTTGTCCGTTTTCCCACTTTTGTCCTTTTGAATATATGCCAAATAAAACTTTCTTTTTACTTTACTAAACTTTGTGATATTTTCCCCCTACAACACTGAAAACTAAGTTTTCAAAACTAAAGTTTTCAAGGCTAAGGTATTTAGGGTTATTGTTCTGTCCTGTTTTTGAGTATACTTAGTTGATAACTATTCTAAATGCTGCTGATTGAGTGTGTTTGGAAATAATTTAAAACTTTAGTAATCACTTTGAGAAAATGAGTTTCCACCTAATCTTCTGCTTCTTGGTACTTACAACTATTAAAAGGAACTGTTGTAGGGTAAAAACATCACAAAGTATAGTAAAGCAAAAAGAAAGTTTTATTCAGCTTATATTCAAAAAGGCAAGCGGGAAACAGACAAGCATGCTGCTAGAGCCGTGTCTGCCTGAATCCAAAGAACGTTACAGAATCATCAGTATATATTAACATTGCAAATGGGTAAAATCACTGAAATCTTCACCTTTTCACAGATAGGCTAAAAACTGTTAAGTCGCTGTGATCTACATTTTGAATTGTCTTTCTTAATGTTTGGTACAGGTGTCAGTAACAACAGTGAGGAGGGTCTTCATTGGTCTAACAAATCTCACTATTCACTAAAGACTACAAAAAAAAAGATAAGAGTGGAAAGTCTGTGGGTCTTTTGTGCGTTTTATGATTTGTTTATGTGAAAGATTCCCTAAAAGATGTTTTCCAAGGTTGTCCTAGCTATTGTCTTTATACCTCAGGGCCCAGTTGTTACCCAGTTGGGGTCCGTGCCCCAGAGCAGTTGAGCCGATGAAATGTACTCCAAGTCAGAAAGCGAGAGAAAGTTTATTAGGAGGTGACACTAACCAGAAGTCCGACAGCAACATTAGCTGTCTTCATGGAGTCCCAAAAGGCACTTTCTACATCAGAGCTAATATATCATTTTGGCAAGGATTACCTAGTGTCTTCAGACATGTAGCCCACAGATGCTCACATGAGTGTACATCACAAAACAACCACAAGAAACTATTAAACTAAAGATAGGCATGCCGGACATCTGGACTCTAATCTTTATGTTTGTAACAGGCAAAAATACTTACATAAAAATCTCTTGGCTAGTGGAACTGGCCTGCCAAGTTTACTCTGACCGAGATAAGGATCAAGAAAGAAAGTTGCAGACCAAAAGTGCCAGGCAGCTGCTGTCTTGCAGGCTGAAGGGCATCCCCAAAGAGAACAAAGAAAAGGAGGGAGACCAAGGCCGCAAGAGCTGAGAAGGCCCCACACCCCTTTGGAAAGAGGCTAGTGCAGCTGGTGTGATTAAAAAAGGACATTGAAAGTGAGAGTGTACAAAATATCAAGCAAAAAAAAAAAAAACTTATAGGTTACTTAGAGTATCATTATGGCATTAGTTATGTCAAGCTCTCAATGGCCCATTTTGAGAAGGAGAAAACATGCTGCGAGGTGTTGGGGTCACACAGTTGGTGTGTCCTTGTGAGTCCTTGTGGGTTCTTGTGAGTTCAGCTCCAGCTGGGTCACAATCTAGGACAAGGAATAATGTCTCCAATATTATCTCCTAAATCAGAACCTAGGTATTAGAAAAAAAAAAGATTATTATAAATTAAAAAACAAACAGAAGGAACAATTTACACAAAAAGTCTTACAAATACAACCAGATAAACTCATGGCTTTGCAACTCCAACAACTTCAAATACAACCCAACAATCTTTTAGACTGCAAATTTATTGTTTGTGTTTATTGTAAAAACTAGGTCATCTTAGAAAAAATGTTTTGAGTTAAAAAAAAAAAGAGAGAATAGGAACAAATTCAACTCTCTACTGCCCACAGGAGGCCAGCAACCACCAGCATAAACAACCTCCAGAGAATTAACAGAGACTTCTCCTTTAATAACATTAAAACTATAAAAAGGAGAGTCATTAATTAGAAACAACTCCATCTACCCTCCAAACACTCATGGTTTCTCAAAACAGTTTCATAGGTAGCCCAAGCTCTTTAATCTACCATGAAAATGAGGAAATAAATGATTCAAATTAAATTACCATCTACAGTTTAAAGAAAAATTTATAAAATTTAAGAAGAATAGGAAGTTGTTTTCTGTATACAGACCTTTGTTCTCCTTTTTTTTCAAAACTCAGCCCACCATGTTGCTTATTGGTAAATATCTGTTTATCAATAAATGTCTGTAGTTCTTTGTTTTCCAGATTTGCCTTAAATAATTTCATGAAATTTATATTGTACTTCTTGATTCTCAACAAATAATAGTATTAATTTATATAATTCTTGTCTTATGTCTAAGTTTGATCTTGTCTTAAAAGCCATGCATTGGGACTATGGTAGCTACACAATAGTCTATATAAAAGTGCACAGAAGAAGATAAATTGTTTGTTTGGTACAACCAAGCCTTTAACTTATTCCAAAACCATCTCTTTACAAAACCTCTCTTTACCAGATTCTATAAAACATGCAAAAGAGAAGGTAACAGTTTTCTACCTCTAGATAGTATTGAATTTAAGTTATGATGTTTCCAGTTGGTTTGATGATAAATAAGCACTTGTCAAATTATAAGTTCTCTGTTTTCAAAAAATGAAAAAAATAAATTCACTTTGCTAATTAAAAAAAGTTTAACTTTTACTTTTCTAACAATGAACAGCTAGAAGAAAATTTTTAAAAAGAAATTTATTTAAAATGCCTAAAGTTCTTATTTATTACAACAAAAGGTTTAGTAGGTAAATTTGAAAAAAATCTTAAGCACTGTCAATGTCAAATAGCATGTAAAACAAAGAATTGAATTTCTCATAATTAAAATAACAAAATCTTCCTTAGTTACTAAGTTAAGGGGTTAATTTTCTTCTTTATACAATCTGCTTCAAAGAAGAGTTCATCTTCATTAAATTAAGGTTCCTAATAAAGTCTCATAGTTTTTAGGGGACTAAGGCTTTTACCTTTAAAATTTTTGCTTTAAATAATTTAAGTATTGTTTCTCAATAATCTGCGATAAACTTCCGACAACTTTAAAACTTCATAAAAAGCTTAAAGGATTTATTTAAAATGTTATGAATTTTATGAAACATGTTGTCAAATCGAGAAAAATACCAAATTTTCTTTAAATTAGAATTTATATGTTAGTAATATATGCCTAATACTAGATTGCAAACACATAATATTAGGTCATAATTTTATTATTTTAATTGCTAACTTAGTTGCAACTTTATTTTTTTCAGTCTAGCATCATCAAAGTCAATGGCTTGACTGGAGAATTCAGATCATTTACCCATGAATTTTTTTTACTACTATTCAGATATTTAGAGACTTGATAATCTTGGTATATTCTTTTTATATCCTGACTATATAGTATTATATCTCAAGATAATTATGTATTATATCTGAAGCTCTTTTGAAAATAAGGTTAATCATTATATTTAGAGATACTTTTGTCTGAAGTTTTTAAAACTGACTTTATTTGGCTTTGCATAATCTTTTTAATTAATTTCTACCAGGCTTTTCACTTTTAAGAATTATTATTATTATAAGTTAATTATGTCCGTATTAAGTTTTGTCATCTGCAGATAAGTTTTTACTTTGCTGAATTGCTGAAAACGTTTGACCAAAATATCTCAACAAAAAGGTGAAATCTTTTGCACTCATGAGAAGGATTGTGACTATACTGAATCACAATTTCCAGAACTCTAATGTAGAAGCTGAGCATTCACAGACTGTGGCTGATCCAGAATAGCATGAAATGAAAATTATCTACATGGGACTAAGTAAACTAAAAAAATATTTAAATCGAACTAGATGAAGTTTACTTACATTAATTTCTTTGCTCTTCTATTTGCTTCATTCACTATATTGCTTTTAGTTGCTTTACTCCAAAAACTTCAAGTTATTCCATGTTTTGATATGTTTTTCCCATGTAAATGATAGAAGTTAATGCTGCCTAGTGCATTTGCGTATTGTTAATTGAACAGATAAACTACCTTATTTGTCTTATACTCCATGATGACAGTTATACCTATTGCTAAAAATTTCTAGATGATTTAGATGTTTCAGCTATGAGCTGTTAAAATACTTGAGATTTCCTTTTTGTTATCAAACCTTCTTTTTTACCATTATCAAATAGCAATTTTAGCATAAATCCCGTTTTGACTTTTTTTCTCTTGTAAACTCAGACCTCTTTTTATAAACATCACTTTTAGAGACAATTTTATTTGTTAGAATTATGATGTTAATGGTCGTTGTCATCATAACAGACACTGTTAAATGTTACATAAATTTACCACTCGTGTTCTGGCCTCAAGAACGAACATGCTGCCCATGAAAAAGATACGGCATAGAGAAACCATCCAGGTCAGTGGTGACCTTGATGAATCCCCATTTGAGGGACTGAAACAACAAGTCAGCCTTTTGTGCTTCTGATCCATTGTACCTGACACTGTCACCTCTTTCTCTCCCCCTTTTGAGGCCCACCAGAGTGTCTCCCTCTAAAGCATGGTGAAGCTAGAGAAACCTTGCAGAAGTGAGTTACTCCTTTGTAAGCGACATGAGGCCAGCCTGGCCAGAAGAGGAGAACTACACTATGTCAAGGTAAAAGGGAAACACTCAGTGGTGCTTGGTCACAAATGCAGTGTGGTATCTGAGGTCTTAAATGTTTGACAATTCAAGCAGTCACTAAAGTAAACAATATTAGCAAGAGTGTCCATATGAAAGAGACTACTCAATTCATCAGTGATCAAAAGATGCTCCATGAGATCTTTGAACAAAAGGAGGAAAACGTCTCAGGAAAAGACAACTTTCAGTGTAGTCAGTGAGACAGAGGCATAATATGTTGACCATGCTATCTAATAATAATCTGAATTCTAGACTAATAGCTATGTTTTTTGAGAAAAACATGCTTTTCCTCAGTGGTCAAAACCAGAATGTGAAACCATATGCCTTGAGGGATCTTAACCAAGTGACCATCTGCACTCCTCAAAATACGCATACTCAGAAAGAGTGCTGTCTGGGTGCTGTTGCCAACAAGGTATTTTTGCAAGATAAACAAAGAAAATACATGTAAGCATCTTGTGACCATGATGTAAGCATCCTGTGAAACTATCTGTAATCGTTAACTATACTATCAGTAATCAGTAACCAATCAGAGTGTGATTATTACAGTATTCATTGATTTGCCCTCCCTATGGTTTGGTTCCTCTTTTTACCCCATAAGAATACTTGTATAACAAAACTGCACCAGGACTACCTTGTTCCATTTTCTATGGGCTATGTAGTTCTCCAATTGCAATTGTTTTAAACCCTTAATAAACCTCTGTTTTAACTTGAAACAGTGTTCAAGTTTTTCTCTACAACACATTACACTGATGACATAATGTTAACTGCTGGAGATGTTCTCTGTTACAGGAGAATCTAGACACCCTAATCATCCACCTATGGGGAGAGAATCGGCCGTGAATCCCCACAAGTTGCAGGGGCTGGGAACATCGGTAAAACTCCTAGGGGTCGTCTGGTCAGGTAAGACCCGTGTGTTGCCTGAAGTCATAGTCGATAAGATACAAGCTTACCTCACCCCAGGATGCCAAAGGAAGTGCAAGTCTTCGTGGGTCTTTTGGGGGTATTGGAGTGTATTTTATTCACAACTTGGCCCAGTGCTTGAGACCACTCTATCAACTGGTAAAAAAGGGTGCCTCTTGGGATTGAAGTAATGAACAGCAGCAAGCTTTAGAGAAAGCAAAGGTGTTGGTTGCACAAGTGAAAGCACTGGGCACAACATGGGGGAGGATTACCCTTCAGGTTAGACACGAGCAGCACCGAGGATGGCTTTGGCTGGGCCTTGTAGCAAGATCAGGATGGAGCTAAAGTCTCCCTAGGTCTTTGGCCTCAACTGTGGATGGGGGCAGAAAATCTACACAGTCCTGTGGAGAAGCAATTGTTAGTGGCCTATGATGCTCTCTGCCAGGTAGAGCCATCAACAGCTGTCACCCTTAGCACAGCTATGTCCATAAATGAATGGGTTAACAGGCTGTTTTCCAAGCCATCATCAGCTATTGCCCAGACAGCTACTCTCACCAAATGGCATGCATAACAGCAACAGTGCAATGTGCTTTCTGCCAGTCCATTGTCCCAAGAGTTACAGGCTGTACTTGGTCCAGTGACGTATCAAGATGACACCACAGCACAGGCCAGTGCACCACCACAGCCACCTCCTCTCTCCTCCAAGAGAGGGGAAGGCTTATCGCTAGTAGATGCCTGGTACACAGATGACTTTAGCTGAGGTATGCCACAACTGTGGATGGTGGTGGCTGTACACAAGCCTCTACTGATACCATTTGGTTTGAAACTGGCTCAGGGCAAAGCAGTTGGTGGGCCTAATTAAGGGCTGTATGGAAGGTCATCACTCATGAACCCTGGCCCTTAACCCTGTGTACAGACAGTTGGGTGGTAGCTTGTGGGCTATGTGGATAGGCCAAGGGCACAAAGAGCAATGGACAATAATGGGTAAACTCCTGTGTGGGGAAAGCCTTGTGGCAGGACATCTGGGATTGCCTCCAAACCTCAGATGCTGACCTCAATAGGATACCTATTTTGATAGGTACCTAGAGGCCTCCAAAAGACATGAAGATAGCAAGATTGCTTCCCTGTAGGATACAATTTCTAAACTGACCAAACAAAGTAAGAAACTAGGTCTCTAGCTGGCAGAATGAATTAGGTTAAAAAAAAAAAAAGAAACCAAAGTTTCAACCTAAGATAATAAACCTTGATAAATGAGCCTGGATCCCTCCTACTGGGATGCTGGTTTGGGGTTCATGTTTAAAAAATAATATAAGCTGGATATACTTGAAGTAATTTAGAATTTCATTGATCACTTTGGGAAAATAAGTTCCAACTTGCATCGTATTTTTTGAAAACTTTTGTTTAATGCTCAGTTTCAGTCAAATGGTCTGAAAAAAATCTCTCCATCTGAGACCCTGATAAATTAATTAGTTTATCTATTACATTTTTCTAAGTCAATATTACCAAAGAATTGCTGTATACATTTTAAGAAACTGAGTTGCTTGTGTTATGTGGTATTGTTTAAGCCTGGTTTTTGAGGTGGGCTCATACACTGGTGAGTTTAAGTGGTTTTTCTATTTCATTTTGTTCTGAGGGATTGCCTCTAGTCTCATTTTGTGTCTGAGTTCCTGTCTTGTTTCAGGAAGCTGTGACTGGCAACGTAGTATTTTAAGTCTTAATTTTTTTTTTCTCTTTCAAGAAAAACTCCTTCTTGTGCCTGTTTTATGAGTTGGACTTTCAGCAGCTACACTGAGAAAACTTGATATAGTCTATTTGGAAGAAGCACCAAAAAGGACAAATTATTCTAAATTGCTTCTTTAAAGGATTCTCTAAAGCATGCTAAAGACAGGGTTATAAAAATTTCCTACCACCGGATGATATTATTGAATTAGATTATAATATCCCTTCAAAGAACTTACTCTGATCAGTTTATGATAAATAAGCACTTATACAAATTAGTCCTAATATTTCCAGGAATTAATGGTAATAAATTTGTTCTGATAAAGATTTTTATGTTAATGTTAACCTTGAAAGCAAAATCTTTCTAAGTAACTTAAGCTAGATATTATATGAAATGTGTTTTATTTAAAGAAAGGGAGTAATTTTTATTAGTGAAAAGGAAAGACATTAAACTGCTTACCAAGAGAATAATAAAAATTAGAAGGAATATAATTTAGCTATATCTTTCCTCTTTTAAATTATCTGGGCCAACTTAAACATGTGTAAGTGAATTTAGATTAACTGATTCTTTCTTAATAATAAGCCTGTAAGACCCACAATACTCCAGAGAAGGTTTAAAACAAAACAAAACACAACAAAAAACCCCTCCCAAACAGGTGAAAATCTTTTTAAGACAAAATAAAATTAGCTAAATAATGTAGACATTAATGAGGTCTAAAATAAGTAAAATGCTGTCTCAGTAAAGTGGAAAAATCTAAGGCTAGATTGAGAAAATACAAGAAATGTAAAAATTTGAATGGAAATATAGACTATTTAGACAAACTTCAACCATGATTTCTAAGATTTCTGGGCAACTTACTGATGCAGATTGAGTTAATGGATATTTATTATAATTGAAGTTCATAGGCTCTTACCTTTTATGCCACAGAGAAAAGATACATATTTATGAGTCTGGTAAAAAGTGTATTCATTTTTGCCACTTGAAGGGTTGTGCTATAAGAAATAAGAGAATTTTTAAGAACTTTAATGTTAAATAGTGTATAAAACAAAGAATTAGTGTTCTTCCTGTTGAGATAACGAAATTTTCTTTGATTACTGGGTTGAAGGTGTCCTGGTGGCTCAGTGTTTAAGAGCCTGGCTGCTAACCAAATGCTCGGCAGTTCAAATCCACCAGTTGCTCCTTGGAAACCCTATGGGACAGTTCTACTCCATCCGATAGTGCTGCTATGAGTTGGAATCGACTTGATGGCAACGGGTTTTGTTTTGTTTTTTGGTATTGTGTTGAAAAGTTAATTTTATTCTTTCTGCAATCTGCCTCGAAGGCAAGGGTTTGACAGAATAAATTCCTGAGTCAAAAACCAAGCTGCATGACTTTAGAAAGTGCTAAGGTTTTTACCTTTAAGATCTTTAGTTAAATAATTCAAGTATTGTTCCTCAGTGACCTATGATAAACTCTTGATAACTTTCAACCTTCGTGGAAAGCCACAAAAGATTTGTTCCATTTTATAAAAGGAAAAATGCTAAAATTAAAAAAAAAAAGATTTATTTAATATGTTTTGAGTTACGTGAAACCTGTTGACAAATCAAGAGAAGTGCCAAATCTTCTTTAGGTTAAAATTTATATGTCAGTGATGTTTGCCTGATATTAAGCAACAAGTGCATAATATTATGTCATAATTTTATTATTTTTAAATTACCAACTTGGTCTCAACTTGATTTCTTTTGAATCTAGCATCATCAAAGCCAATTTATTAAATTTTATTCTTTTACTGTGCTTTAGGTGAAAGTTTACAGCTCAAATTAATTTCTTATACAAAAATTTATACATGTATTGTTATGTGACATAAGTTGCAATCCCCACAATGTGACAGCACACTCCCCTTTTTCACCCCAGGTTTCCTGTGTCCCTCTAACCAGCTCCTGGCCCTTCCTACCTTCTCATTCTGCCTCCAGACAGGAGCCACCCATTTGGTCTCATGTATCTGCTTGAACCAAGAAGCACACTCCTCACAAGTATTATTTTATGTTTTATAGTCTGAAGAGTGGGCTTCGGGAACGTTTTTAGTTCTGGGTTAACAGAGCATCTGAGGGCGATGGCTTCGAGGGTTCCTCCAGTTTCTGTCAGACCATTAAGTCTAGTCGTTTTTACATGAACTTGAGTTCTGCTCCACATTTTTCTCCTGTTCCATCAGGGACTGTCTGTTGTGTTCCCTGTCAGGGTGATCATTGGTGGTAGCCGGGCATCATCTAGTTCTTCTGGTCTCAGGCTGATGGAATCTCTGGCTTATGTGGCCTTTTTGTCTCTTGGGCTAATATTTTCCTTGTGTCTTTGGTGTTCTTCATTCGCCTTTGCTCCAGGTGGGTTGGGACCAATTGATGCATTTTAGATGGCCGCTCACTAGCTTTTAAGACCCCAGACACCACTCACCAAAGTGGGATGCAGAACATTTCCTTTAAAAACTTTTTGATGCCAATTGACCTAGACTCCAGCCCCTGCTACTCTGTCCCTTGAAGTGCTTGGTTGTGTCCAGGAAACTTCTTCCAGTTTAGTCTGTTGTGCTGACTTCCCCTGTATTGTGTGTTGTCCTTCCCTTCACCCAAGATGATTCTTCTCTACTATCTAGTTAGTGAATTCCCCTCGCCCTCCCTCCCCACCCTCATAACTATCAAATAATGTTTTCTTCTGTGTTTTAAACCTTTTCTTGAGTTCTTATAATAGTGGTCTCATTCACCTCTATAAATGGAAAAACATGCCTTGCTCATAGATAGGAAGACTTAACATTGTGAAAATGTCAATTCTACCCAAAGCAATCTACAGATACAATGCAATCCCGATCCATATTCCAATGGCATTTTTTAATGAGATGGAGAAACAAATCACCAACTTCATATGGAAAGGGAAGAGGCCTCGGATAAGTAAAGCATTACTGAAGAAGAACAACAAAATGGGAGGCCTCACACTACCTGATTTTAGATGCTGTTATACTACCATGGTAGTCAAAACAGCCTGGTACTGGTACAACAACAGATACATAGACCAATGGAACAAAGTTGAGAATCCAGATGTAGATTCATCCACCTATGAGCAGCTGATATTTGACAAAGGCCCAAAGTCCATTAATTGGGGAAAAGACAGTCTCTTTAACAAATGGTGCTGGCATAACTG